ACCACTATTTTGGGGTACGACTCGTTCGGCAGAAGATATTTCGATGACTTCTTCGGGCCCTTCGAGTCATAACTACTGAGCGAAGAGTTTTCAGTCGATTCGAGCCATTCATTCAAACCAGTGGTCATTTCGTTGGCCTCCAGTTGAGGATCACTTCCAATGGAATCGTTGTCTTCCTGTGTGTCACCACTTGAGTCAATACATCACAAGACAAGACATGACATCAATGAATACCTCATTGAAAATACTGTCGAGTGTGGGAAGCGGTCCATCGATGGCAGGGATGCAGAACTCATTGTCATCGATCTGTGAACACAATGTTTGTGTCTATAAGTGAATGATTGAGTGATCATCTAATGGACACTCACCTGATCCTCGTCCTCGAGGTCTCGACTGATGTCTGACAAGTGAGACATTTAATTGACATAAACAGTGAACATATGACTGAGTGTTGGGAGCAATCATTCATTGCATTGCTTTCTGCCTCTAATCATAGTTTTCATTTGAGATGACTATAAAATATACTAAAAATTAAATTTAATTAAATTAAGTTTAAAATTAAATTTCAAACGATTCCAACAGTTCTGCCATCAAAGCCAATGAGCAGACAATAGTTAATCCCAAAAGAGATTGGCTTTTAGTGAACGAAGGATTCAACAGAATATCAATAAATTGTTTTCATTAAATCCGTGTATTTATATTTTCTAATAAAAATTTTACATTCAATTTAAATTTTCAAATATTTTATTCATTCAATGACAAAATAATTAATCATTTTTATTGTATTTAACATGAATTGCAACTCAATATGCGATACATTGAAAGATAAATTGAAATACAATAATGTGTTAATAGCAGTAAATATTCATTAAATTGTTTGCAAATATATAACTAAATCTTTTTAATAATCTTTAAATCGAAAGAAATTTAAAATCACATCAAATGTAGTAAAAGGAAAAGTACTTCAAATGACAGTACATTGACAACAAAAGTCACTATAAGTACGCAAAACAATAGTTTATTTGCTTTTCCTCTGTTTCCTCTCCTCCTGTAATCAATAAAACAAACATTCATTTCATTAGAAAAACAACTATAAATGACAGTACATTGACAACAAAAGTCACTATAAGTACGCAAAACAATAGTTTATTTGCTTTTCCTCTGTTTCCTCTCCTCCTGTAATCAATAAAACAAACATTCATTTCATTAGAAAAACAACTAATAATTTGCAATTCATTTCACTTTTAATATCATTTCAAACCTTTTGCGTCAAAATAATGAGAAGATATCGGAAAATGTCGATGAAATCCAAGAACAATAGCACCGAATGCCTGATGGGAACAGAAAACAGATTAACCATTAGTTGAACGGAAAAGACATTGAATGAGACGTTGACTCACGAGATATAATCAGTGTCTCCCCGACGTCTCTTCTCAATAATTAGGTTCGTGTCAAACATTATGAAACCGCAGACCACGAAGAATGCCAAATACAAGTGGATCTGTATTATAGGCACACATTATACGACAATTCATACGATATAACAGTAAAGTGGTTATCATTTGCTTATAAAACACACTAATGTTAAGTCATGTCATTTGCAATCAATGTTGGCTCCCATTAAAAGTGGGTTTTTCGCGTCTATTCGCGTGAAGACACAACATTTATATTCAATTTCATTGTAAACTAATTAACTTGTATTTAAAAATAACTCTAAATACAGATATTTTGCATTCAATTAAAATAATTAATTCTTGGCTTGAATTGAATGAAATAAAAGACAAATAAAATGCAAACACTTTATAACTATTGTATAAAATACTAAAATTGAAGCAAACGCTCCAAACATGAGATTAGATATAAAGCAACAAAATATGATAACAAGGATTGCATTCAAGAGATATTGGACAACATAAACGGTGTCATAAATACCTGATACAAGAGTTTGGATCCAATGAACAGATTGATGATTGACATCATGAGGAGCAGAGACATGAACGACATGAGAGTGCCGCCCAAATACAGCCACTTTCGCTGATCGCTGAACACCGCAGACAACGAGAAGCAGCCGAAGATGACACACGTCGACAGGAAAGCCGTGGGAATGAGCGTCGGGTTCACGAGAATCGCGTATTCCATGAGTGGTCCCAATCCAAGACCTGTCGCACAGACACACCGTTGGCATACAATTGTCATAAAGGCATCAATTGGTGGCAAACCTGAGGCGAACGCGAAGCCAATCAAATACCAGAGTCTAGTCGACCGGTTCTTCCCATTGTCTGGAGTGGAGTAGAGGGCGATTACCGTTGGCATACAATTGTCATATAAACGCATCAATTGGTGGCAAACCTGAGGCGAACGCGAAGCCAATCAAATACCAGAGTCTAGTCGACCGGTTCTTCCCATTGTCTGGAGTGGAGTAGAGGGCGATAACAAAGCCGATGGCCACCAGCGATGACAGTATACCACCCTTTGCAAGCAATAGACGGTCATCAATGATACGCTCATCAATGCATTCAATGTCTTACTTGTAGTATATTTGTGAACAAATGAATGTAACCACCGATGGATGCGCTCAACAGCGCGATAGACATCGAGGAATAGACATCCTTTAAGTGGCTCTGAACCTGAGGTTCACTGCAATAGATACGCAATTGGATCAAATGGGGTGACAATCATGTGATTGAATGGTATGAAATGTGAATACATTTTACGGTTGAGTGAATTGAAGAACGAATCCAAACTGAAAGAGTTGGCCATCACTTGGGATCAGATGTCTGAGACTTGAATGAATTGGATGTTGTGTTCAGTGAACGACTGAATGACTCAATACTACTGTAAGACTGACGACAACTCAAAATGAGTGATGCATTGAGTGCTGCCTTTTGGGGACCAATAGTTGATTACAAACATTGTATGACTCACGCAATACTCCAAAAGCACTCAATTATAGGTCCCTTACTGTGCGGCAAAACAATTAAAAGTTTTAATTTAAAACTTGATTTGAAAAATTAATTATTACTTAGTAAAATTAACGTTTTAATTAAACAATTAGAATCTACAATCTTTTTAGAAATACTATATCAATAGAGTACAGATATTATATTAATATAAAAATGTTTCTTTTTCTAAGAAATCATGTCAATCATTGGCTAATTTTGAAAGTTGTATGGAAAACACCATAAATCATTTAGTTATAATGAATGAAAACACGTTAAATACAATACAATACATACAGTCAGTCACTATTGTATTGTTTAGAGGTTTAGTGAACAACAGTCACAACACAACACCACTAGAGCTCAACAAATGGTTTCATTTGATAAATAAATATTTATTTTAATTAAAATATTAGATTACATTAATTCGATGTTTAGTTATGAGTTAATAAATACCACAAAAATGTATATAATATCATATAATTGTTATACAACTCATGAAAAACAGATTAAAAGGTTATATAAAATACTTAGTATTGGTTTGACATAGACTTTGATTTTGGGACTCATATATAGACTAGTTTTGGTGGGTTTGGGATTCACTTATAGGGGATACGAGTATTCATTGGTTACATACGACTAGTATTAGAAAATAAACGATAAATATTTGATAAAACGACACAAATTGTGGTCAACGGATGTCATGATAGACGATGGGAGAGACCATCAACTGCTGTGAACCCATCCGATTGGCACCCATTTTGGTTCCGTCTCTAAGGAGTGGATGATTTCGATGAGCTTTACATACGTTGTCCGCAACTCGTCGTTGATTAGCGTTATATCGAAATACTTTGCGTACAAATAGTT